ATTTTCCTCCTATTTTTTCCTGGATTTCCTCTTAGGAAGCATATTTTCCCATTACGACTCCCCCCCTAATATCCTCACGTAAGGGGTGGCTATATACATACTAAAAGCCCATGAGGCAAATCTTGACCCACTCGGCACTGCTCCGCCTCCAACGACTTTGCTAAGGCTCGCGAAAGCATGGCGGCACTGTCTGTGCAGTCCAAGCAGAACACCATGGCCTTCAGCATGGGAGCCCCGTCCCCTGCAGCTCTGCAAATAATCGTGCTTTCAACAACCGGAGGCTCGCAGGAAGCGAGAAACTTTTTTGTACTTGAAGCCGGGGCCGGCTTCCTCGAGTCTGTAATCATGTCAGAGCTTGACCCCTCTTGTTTTGTAACTCTCTCAGTGTGCAATCATTATGCTTCGAGCAATGGGATGCCCGACGCGACCTCGCATCTTCGAGCCGCTTATGAAATCCCGGCCCTGTACGCTAATAACAGTTCTCCACAGGCAGCAGACTGAACCCCACAAGTGTCCACCTCACACTAACCTGTCATCACGATTTGCCACCTGATTTTTTGCCCACGGGGATGGGGCAATCGGGCAATCATCATCCAGCAAAATGCTCACAAGGCAATTCATCGCGCAACCTTCCCGATTCGCCACCGTTCGCGCGTCAGGCCAGACAGCTGAGTTTCCAGCTCCTGCTTCAGGCTCTGGGCTCGGGAGCTGGTGGGGATGATAGGGCCCTCCTTCTGGGGACTACGCGAGGGTTGTGGGAAGTAGACTTCAACTCTTCGCTGTCTTCCCCGGCCGCATTTCGAGGAAGTCTCTAGGAATGGGTCATAAACACCTAACCTGTTCACATCCTTTTACAGTTGCCCTACGAGATGCCAGGAAGTCGGAAGCATCGGACGCGTGCCCCGGATTCCAGACCAACAGGCCACTTATAAACCCCAAACCCTAGAGACAATCAGATTTGAATTCAAGCGAATCTGATCATCACCTGGCCCTTCGTTAGGCAAGGCTAAAAATAAAACCTAAATCCGGGTGTTGCGAGTCTGCATCTTTGTCACAGGGCTCGCTGCTCTGAGGTACTTCGAGTCTGCCAACAAAGCAAACATCTGAAATGAATGTGACATGTGTCGGCACGTGTGGCACGAAAATTCAGTTTTAGGTGCCCACACTGAATGCGAGCAAATGCTCGTGACTGGAGTTACTGAGTCCCACCTACTACCGTTGCTGTAGCGGACCTTTCAAAGGACCAGGCTCCCGCATTGCGTGGGCCGGCTCCTCTAGACATGGCATCAAACTACGAGATCTGCCGGCTGGTCATGCTGTACATGCCTGCAGACGCAGCGGCCATGGGAAGTACCAACACACCGCTCTGGATCTGAGCAATCTCCAGCTCTCAAAGGCCGGAGGCTTCCTGGCTCCAGCGCCTCCTTCGCTCGGCCCCAGAAGTGTCGCCATGCTTGTGGCGAGCGCTTGGGCGTCCTGCCTTGCAAACGAAGCCTCAGCGCCTCGGCCCTCAAATTGCTCAAAGAGCTCAGAGAGCCCACCGTGGCGTTCAGCAAGTGCGCTGTTCTGGGGTCCAAGAGTCGAGGCTCTGCCAAGGTCACCAGGTGGCCGCCTCTGGTACTGAAGTTCCAGCCACAAGACCCGTCATCATCCATCAGGCCAAGAGACCAGGCAAGCGGCCAACTATGTAGCTTCGCCCACTCAATCAACCCCTTTTCCTGCATCGTGCCAAAAAGTCGAGAGAAGCTTGCAACAATGATGCGCACAGCTGAAGGATAGTACAACTGGCCAAGGGCGCCGGCTTCTAGATAGCCATACATGTCTCGGCCCTGGCTCGTATTCAGTGGCATCTTCTCAGGCATCAGCATTCTCCCCAAAACACGCGCCATCGTGTCAGCCCCCTGCCCTTCAAAAGAAGTGAGCCTTGCATGGGCCAACAAGCTGTGGTCATAATGCTCCAGAGTGCCTGGCTCGCTCGGCAACGGCCATGCCGAGCAATTTATGGTATGCGGACCTGACAGGGGGAAACGGGGAATCTTGGGGTATAGAATGATTCTAGGGGAACTCTGGGGATTCCCTCCTAATAGGTTTGCATAGAGGTGGCTTTGACAAGCGGACCTGACATGTCTTTGCAATCTGCGCTCCACCAGCCCGTGTCAACAGGAACGAGCAAGGTCATATTCCGAAGGTACTCCCGCGAAAGAACCAGTCTGACACTGCCGTACTGGCATTCCTGAGATCTTCTCACTCAGCTTATAAGGCTCATACATTTTTGGGGGTGAGTTTGACCTCATGATGAGGAAGAGAACCCACAATGCCCAAAAAAAAACTTCCAACATTCAATCGACACACGCCCTCGTCCAAGCGCATGATGTTGTATGCAACGTAGATCAGTCTGTCCCGGGCCTCTGTGATGGATGAGGGCTGCGCCAAACCTCCAGTGAACGCACGACAGCCGAAAAAAGACTGCTGCATCATGTCTTCCATCTTTTGTTCGTCGAAGTCGCAGTGGGATGAGAGTCCCAACACATTTAGCTCCCATGAGTTGTAGAGATGTTGCGCTGAGGTGGCGATGCTCAAATTCATGCCGCACATGATAGGTTCCTCGGCAGCATCTGCTGGGAAGCTGGTCAGCAACTCTGTTACCTCCATGTCCGCCCTTAGCCTGCTCAGCAATGCTTCCGGCCCCTGGCGCGCAAGATCGGCCGCGACACCTCCAAAGCTCTGCAAGTGCTGCAGCAGCCGAGGGTGACCGAGCAAGTTCAGCAGGTCGCTCGAGGCTGCGGCCGAAGCCGACTGAGCCCTGGCTGCCTGTTCTTGAAACAGTTGCTGCTGAAATTTCGACCTGCGCTGATCATAGTCCTGACTCTCAGCGAGGAAGAAGAACAAGAGTGCAAGAAGCCATGCGTGTGGCTGAGTGCCACTCAGCTTGGCCATGTCCGCGTCATGTGCCTACAAGCCAAAGCGCCTGCAAGGGTAGGTGGTGAGGGAAGAAGAACCCGCCCAAAAATTGTCTATGCAGAAGAAAATGCTCTCCATTTGGCGGCTGTTTCTACTTCATGGCTCTCGGCAACCTCCACTAGAAAAGGGTTCCAAAAATTCCCACAATAGGGTTCCCTTCTAACTTCAGACTTCTTCCGTGTGTCCGGGCCTTTAAGCTCCGCTTCTTGGGGCGCTTCAATGGATTTGAGGTCGCAGGCTGTAGAGTTGCGGATGCTAGAAAGACAGATAGATACTGTGGGGCTTACTTATGTGGAATTTAGGTGTTTGGACCCTTCAGCCCGCAGGGTTGAAGTGGCGTCGGTCTTCAGAGGGCTTTGGACATAGAATTTCTGGCTTACTGAGAGGAGCTTTAATGATCTAAAGAATGAGTTTGAGGGCAGATCACGCTATAACTATTAGAGAGGGATGAAAGCAGATACCATTGTTAGGCCTTTCAGGTCTCTGCATTCTGAAGATTTTTTCAAAACGAATCCTCCCTGTTTAGTCCCATGCTCATACTACTGCCCAATACAGGGACCATGAATGGAACAGCATCTGGAGCAAGGTTGCCGAGAATGTGCAATCCTATACACCCCAAACCCATGATGTCCTTGCTTGACCCGAACACCATCCCGCAGTCCTACACTTCACTCACTACCGCTGCAATCGTTATCACTTATCACGCTAACCCTTCCTGGCCATGATCATTCGGGTCTGTTTCCATAGACCCCCTTCCATAAACCAACCCTCCAATTATTTCCGTGTAGCTTCCGAAGCCCAACCTTTAGTCATAGAAATCTGCTATGCGCAGAGGCCACGCAGAAGGAGGCAAGGGCTACAGAAAGGTCGGCCAAGAAAGTTCTTGGCGAGCCAGCCAAGGAGGCTGGGATCCCCAAACGTTCGCAGAGAGCAACGGATGGGCACGAGGGTTGGGAGGTGGAGCAGTCATTTCCTCATTCGTCGCTGCAAGACCCCCCGGGGGGAGGTCATAGAAAAAAGGCAGAAAGAGCAACAATTTGACCCCTTACTTGTACCCTCCCCCGGCTATAATTGTTAGCGCTGGGTGATGATGATGCAACTACTTGTTGGTTCAAGTGGATCTGGGAAGAGGTCAAGTTAGAGAACTCAAAGCCCTGGTACCCAAACCCTGAAGAAGTCTACAGTACAAGGACATGAACACTGTCTCTCCTTGAGCTCGCGCTCACGGTCCGCCACAGAACTCTCTGCCACCACCGTGTCCTCGACATGCAAGGGCTTCTGTAAGTTGAAAACACATGTGGGCCCAAGTCAAAGAACTGGGTCCAAGCCTTCGGGTCCGGATAAGAGGCCATGACTGGAAAGGGAAGTTCTCTTGCAGGATGCTTCAATGCTACACCTATGCGAGAGGCACCGAGGGATGTCCTTTAGGTTGAGGGTTCAGGGTTTAGTGAATACGTAGGGGTCATGCAGAGAAATCCCCACGCGGACATCTACCAGACCAGAACAAGCTGCACATTTCTCCGCCGCATTTCGCTTCGTGCCAGGTTGGCTGCCAGAGGCCTTCCTTAGCCCAAACCAGGCCCAGGTAGGAGTTTCCACAAGTATGGGTCCCAACAAATTACTCCGTACTTTTTCCCTGAACTTTTATAGTATTATGAAGACACCAGAAAGGGACTCCCTTTTTTGATGGGGGAAAACGCACTGCTGTCTGAGTTCCCTGACGCCCCCCAGTGTTGAACGTTTGCAGCCTGTTCCGAAGTAGATCGCAAGTTTATCAAATGCCACTTGGCCAATCAGCATCTAAATGGACGAGCCACAGGAGGGCCAAGCTCAAATAAATTGAGAGCTCCAGCTCTCAAGTTTCACTCAACTCCACTCCAACTTCAGAATCATGGGTGCCAACATGTGTTTAGTTTAATATCTGAGCTTCCCGGGCGAAGCGTACTTGCGACCATTCTCCTGCGTGCCGGGGCAGGCAGCACTGTGATAAGAATAATCTGCTGGGGGCCATGGGCATGCTCCTGCAAACAGGCGCCTTTAGTTCTCAGTTGCCACAACCCTTGGACACCGATATGGCAGGCCCCGACTAAAAAAGCAATCAGGATGGCTTTAGAGAAGACACCCGGAGCCCAACGATTCTTCTCAGCCAAGATGCCGTTGCCCTCCTCCCCAAACAAAGGCGTCCTTAAACCAACACAAACCAACTGGCCCGCCTCGTAGACGCAGAAATGTTGTGCCAAGCCGGCCTGGAAGCTGTTTTAAGGTCAGTGGGAGTAAATCCCCTGAGTCCCAGGCCTCATCCACCCCGAAGAGCACCGAGAGCCGCGAGATGCGCTCCGACCCGCCAGCCTTCCGGAGGTAGGCGTCGATAGCAGAGACCTGGAAGCTATGCGGAAGCATCGAAATAACAACAACATATTCATATACTAACAGTACAAGTCACAATAGCTATACGATTATGAAACCAAGGCATCCGTGCAACAGTGTGAACCCTGGTTCTATGCCATTCTAGTACCCGGCTACGATTCCTGAACGTATTTGGCAGCAGCAGCACCAGCAGCAGCAGCACCAGCAGGCTGATAGCACAGACTCGTAACTCGCACATGCAAACGATGCTGACATCTTTGAGGACACGCAAGGCCCAACGGCAAACGTATCTTTTTTCTGTAAACTCTGTGCACTTGAGTAGGCTCCTCAGCGCTGCACTTTGGTTGTACTGTACTTCCCTACTACCCCCTTGGTCAATGATCTTGGCCTAGGCGACGAACTCTAAGCGCTGCATGGGCACCCGAACAAAAAAATGACAAGGCGAAAATTTGCAGCTCTTGCTTCAGCATTCACAAGCTCACTGGCTTTGGAGAATCTTCAAGCCACCATGGGCTCATGTTTAATTAGGAACACAAACAGTGTTCATAGCCGTAATTTGGAGTTTCTGAAAATCTTTCCTATGTAATGCCCCAGAGAAACTCCAGTAATCTTCGCATGACCCCTAGCTAGCCATCCCTGGGGTCCACTAAGGGTAACCCCCTAGCTACACATCTCAAAGCCGGCCTGATCCGAGCCCACACGCCCCTGGTGAAGCAGGTTTTTTGGAGTACAGGAAAGGTTTGGGAGGGCTTGGGGGTTGAGGATTTGGGAATGGTACGGAGCGAGATTGGGTGCCTACTCTCAGATCACATGCCTTCCCTGCTTGCCCAGCCGTTCCGGTTTACGGTTTAGGGTTTGTGGAATCTGAAACTCGTCTGTCTCGAGCAGACACAACGCATCACGGACCCTCAGACAGCGAGCTTCCCCGTCAACACCAGAAGCTCTCCGTCAGTTTTCGTACTGGTGGAAAATAGGGAATATAAGCCAACATAACCCCAGTAATGTACAATTCGCATATTCCCTACCAACCAACAGTAGGCCAAGCAAACCATGGCCTCTCCTGGCGCCTGTGCGGCCTGGTCAGCTCCCATGAGAAGCATCATCTTACTGGGGGTAAGTAGGGCTGAGGGTTTTGCCACTTGCATGGCTGAGGCATCATCGCAAGGTTCAATCCGGAACAAATGAGAATCAAAAGCAACAGGCCAGGCCTCCAACAGAAACTCCGATTCAAGGCTCGCTCCAAGGCTAAACAACATTAAACATAACATACACGATGGAGACCTGCAAAGACGGCCTTCGTGGTACCAATTATCAAGCAGCCGCCCGTCCAAGAGCGTCAGGCGATATGTTAAGCCCCAATCAACCTAAACTACCAAGCCCAACGCAAGATCGCCCGCAAGCACCCTGGAAGGAAACTGCATCCATCTCCGGCTGTTCCAAGATGGGAAATCCAATCACTTGGCCCCGAAATGGACGTATCTCTGCAGCTTCATCCGTCAATGTCGCAGACCCAAACATGTGCGTGGACGGTCACCGCCCATGGCGAGCGCAGGATGCAGCTGCAATCATCCACAGCTTGTGCCAGGATAGGAAACCGAGCAGTGCCCAGTAGATCCAGGGCCTCCAAACTGTACGCTCAGCAGACGATCCCCGACTGCCTAGCAGCCTAGCAACCGGCATAATGACCAGCGTCCTCAAAGAGGTCAGCCATGAAGCCCAGCAGCGCACAGGTTGATCAGTGTAGTGATCATGTAGTGATCAGCGTCCTCAAAGAGGCTAACCACAAAAACCCTGGCTCAAAACGCGGCGTATAGGCCGTATGGGCCTGCATATTCAGCAAAAGATCTCCAATCATACTCGGCGCGTGTCCGCGCACCGCAAGAATTGCTCCACAATCTATGATACAATCAGCGAAATGGACTCATCTTTACAGTAAGTTCCATGGCAAGCGCAGCAGGCAGCTGCAGTCATCCGTCAATGCCGCAGACCCAAAAACAGGTGGGCAGTCACTACAAAAAAGCCCCTCAATGCATCACTCAACCAGCGAAATGGATTCATCTTTGCAGCCGGTTCCATGGCGAGATATGGCGAGCGCAGGCGGTAGCTGCAGTCATCCGTCAACGTCACAGACCCAGACACATGTGTGGATAGGCACCACAAGGAACACACCATAATCCATCACTCAATCAGCGAAGGTGACTCATCTTTGCAGCAAGATCCGTGGCGAGCGCAGGAGGCAGCTACTGTCATCCGTCAATGCCGCCGACCCACACACATGTGTGGACAGTCATCGCAAGAAAAGCTCCACAATCCACGACTGAAGCAGCGAAATGGACTCACCTTTGCAGCACGATCCATGGCGAGCGCAGGATGCAGCTGCAGTCAACCGTCAATATCGCAGACCCAAAACATGTGTGGAACACCACAATCCATGACTTAATCAGCGAACCCGTCAATGTCGAAGACCCAAACACATGTGTGGAGAGGAGACATCCTTCCAGTGGCCAGTTTAATTGCGGTAAGGGCTGCTGTGGCGCATTGGGAAAAGTCAGGCCGGGGTTGGTCGGGTCGGAGGTTGGGTCAGCGAAAGGGCAGGCGGTAGGCCGGAGGCCATGAGTGCACAGCACTATCCCATATGCATCCGTCTCCAACATGCATCCACTGAGGGTTTAGGCTTCAGGGTTTAGGGTTTAGTGGGAAATAAGGGAATACGGTAGACATTCTATAGGGATTATAGTCCTCCTAGTCCTGGAGACTCACTGGAGACTAGTAGGGAATGAGAGTATAGGGATTGCATTACCCAAATTCCCTACTAGCAACCAGTAAGACTGCTCATGCTTGGGAGCCCTGTGGTGACTATGCTTCCTTAACCTGGAGGCCTTCTGCTTCGGGCTCTTGCGTTTCAACCTATGGGCGTGAACCAATCGTTGCTACTTGACAATCGCCTAAGAGGACACTATGCGGCGTAACTCTTCTATCAAGCGTCCAGATGCGCCCCTTTTCGATTTTGAGACGCTTCCCTTGAAGGCACTTTGAACAGCTAGGCCTCGCCAAGCAGCTTGATGAGCACCTGGCGCATTGCATATTCTTCAAGCTGGCACAGGTGCGGCATTCCCGACTGTATGTAGCTAAGCTGTCACCATCACATCTGAGGGTGGCATCCGTACTGATTGCAGAATCAGACGTCTAGAGTGGCGTAGGGCAAGCCGCAGCTAGTTGGAGGGTTCAAGCTTCAGGCCCCAAGCCTTTTCTCATTTGTGCCTCCGATGCTAGAATTATTTGTGATCCTCCTCACTGCAACTGCCATTTGCAAGCAAATGCCCTTCAGCACATAGGCCTGCCCCGAAGCGTTGCTCGACACCTCCCGGTCAGGAGCTTTCGTTAGCAAACGACAGTGTTTCAACAACATTTCTTTCGTCGCCCTTTCTGTCCGGAGAGGCTGGAACTCAGTGACCGCTCTACTCTGAAAATGTACAGACTTTAAACATGCCCAAGCGCACGCAGAGCGTGAAGCCAAGCTTGGAACATGGAAAGACAGGTCAAGTGTGTTGCCATGCTGCTTGGAGTTTGTTTCTCACCGACATCACCGGACCAACGTGTTTTGTGATTCGCCCCTCGACTCGCAGAGCCTAGAACCCAAGCCGGCTTGTGTACCTCGAAGGATGTAGCCCGCTCCAAGAGGAAGGTCTTCAGCTGACCTCAGCAGGGGCCCAGACTTCGAGGCCATCGAAATACTGCAGAGCAAGTGACGAAAACGTTGAAGTCAAGGATTTCGGAATAGCTGCTGGGCCCCCTGCTATTGGGTTTTACCAAGCCACACTTCTCGAGGTCCTTCCACCTGAGGTTGGGGCTCGGAGCCCAAGCATCAGACTAGGAGCTTGAGTCTTGATAGCTCTGTCCAACAAGGCCTCTTCAAGTTCTGGTACTTCAGCCCGTGGTGCAGATCATTCATCAAGAATCAAGCTGATACAGGAAAGCATGGAAACATGAAATATCTCGCAGACAGAAGGGCAGCTGCCTGCCAAGTTCCAACGATTGAGAATACTAATCTGCATGCGAGGTGCTCTTGGTGCACCCGCTTGTCCTGCCCGGGCTTACTTTCAGCTGTCTAAGGGCATACGTGGCCAGCGGGAAATAGATTTCCTTACATTACAGGCCCAATCCTACCTGCAACGAAACACCCAAAATGCCGCGCTCCAAATTGCACACCCGTCCCACCTCCCTTCAAATGCAATGCACTCTGTAGTAGTTACGCACTGAGGAAATGAAGCCCACCTCAACTTGTAAAATCATCGTTTGAACTCTAGGAACCATACTATTATTGCATCGGCAACCATGTTGACATGGGGTTACTTGAAATGGGGGCCCTTAGAGATGCAAAAAATGGATGTGAAGTACAGTACCAAAAAAAGTCCCTGCAAAGGATTCTAATTAGAGGGGAATAAGGAGAAACTCCCACACTGTGCTTATGATGATTCAGGCATACGGCTGCATCTACAAGTATTTGTTGCGAAGTCCTTGTTTGAGGATTCTGATGATGCTGATCCCGAAGGGAGATCTTTTCAGAAGCTGCATGGTGTCCCCCCAAAGGTCCTCACTGAGCTGCTGCAGGGAACAAGATGCTCCTGCAGTTTCTGCGAAGGCATGGCAAAGTTGGAGTTGGCAAAACAGAGGCGGGTGCCGGATGAGCCTCCCCAAATACGCGGCATCATGATTCTAGGAACAGCTGCTCAGAATGTGGAAGGGAGGTGTGAAGTTGCTGGGCGAATTTTCCTGATTCTACATCCATATAAATTCATATAAAGCACAACTTCCCCAACACGCCACTTCACAGCTCCTGCTGCCGTCCGGAGAGCTTCCGAGACCGCCCGGCCTAGTCTGCCAAACCTGGGCATGAAATACACCTGTGTTGAGAGGACTAGGGCTTAGGGGTTAGGAATATCTTCCCAAACAAAGGAGTTAGGAATATTTTCCCAAATAACGGAGAATCAAGAAGAGAAAAATGTCTTGAAACTGCTTGACCCAGGAGGTGGTTTTCCATACTGAGAGTCCGCCATTTATGGAAACCTCCCGTGTACCCTTAGTTGGGATCTATGGCTAGAGATGCGGAGTACGACGTTCGGAACTTCCCTAATACAAAGAGCGTTTCAAAATTAGGGTCTCCCTGAGTGTCCCTTTTTGAAAGGAATCTTTTCTCTAAGGGAAACGTTTATTCTGGGCTTGTGATTTGTGAAATTCATGAAGCCTCTAGCTGCAAAGAGCTGGGCCAGATTTGGGCATCCGAGGGCTCTAAGCGCCGAGTACACTTTGTATCCCCCAGAAACAAATCAAATAGCTCACCAACACCAAAATGATAGGGAGGGCATTGTTTTCAGAAAGTGATTTCATTACTTGGCTGCTCGTGAAGTCAAGATGGGAGAGCTGCCCGGGAGTTTTCAGAATAAGTTGTTGCAAGGTTGCACTTATTTGGCAGTGAGAAAAGGAGAGCTGATTACAGATTTGCTTGCAGAATTGTTAAATCAATTAAGGGTTCGACCATACCTCCCTGAGCCACCCTTTCCGGGGCTTGCCTGAGAGAATGCCTCTCAACATATGCGGAACATGCTATCAAAACTCCTCCCAGATAATCAGCTTAGGCGCTCTTGTCAGCGCCCAAGTACAATGCTGCCCCAGGCTAGGAGCGAGGTAGCTGACTCGAGGACTCCCTAGATATCTTCATCATCTTTCCGTGTCAGTCTGTGGGGAGAGGGGGGCCACAGTCGAGTCATGACTATAAGGTGCGAGTTGAAGCAAAGGCGTTGAAGGGAAGCCTTCCTCGTTCGGGATTTGGCAATCATGGCCTTGCGTGGTGCAAGACTTTAGGGGCACTACTGCCTGCACTGGCTTTACGTTGAAAGCGCTCTATGAAATTCGCAAAACTCCGATTGCTCTGTCTTTTCTGCCGTCGCTTCTCTTTGGGATACTTCCTAGGACCTAGGAACTGCATGAAGCAAGTCTCGTCTCTACTGCATATGTTCTGATGGTTTGGCAGGGGGAATTTCAAGAGTTAATCCCACATCGTCACTCCAGGAAACATCTGGGAAGTTCTTCCATGTCTCAAAGGTACTTGTCCCTCAAATTTTACGTCCTCTCCAAAAAACCTCGTAAGTTCGATCTGAATTTAAACCCTGGATTTGCAAAGGCCGTTTGGGCACTTGAAGACTTCCTCTCTCTTTTGAGTCTGCATTGCCCACAGGCCCAGAATGAAAGGGCATTTCTCACAAGCTCTCAAATGCACAGCTTCTAAGTCTCTCATTGGCGGCCAGGCGAGTCTCACTGATCTACCCATTAGGCAATAACTAAGCCATAAAATCCCTACACCCACCCCAAAATAGACCCAAATATACTGTAATCTTTTCCAATGGACCCCCAAAATGGTTCCCCTTGTCTTGCGAAACCCACACTTTAAAACCCCAACTTCCATCTCATGTTCCATTTCCTTTTCCAGATGATTCTCCTTTATTGAGATAACATGCCTGAACCCCAAACCCTAAATCCCTTTTGCATCCCAAAATCCCCAAACCTAAAATCCCGCAATGCCTAAATCCCCAAACCCTAAATCCCTAAAACCCCGAAATCCCTAAACTCTGAATACCTTTTGCATCCAGCCTGCAACGCCTCTGCTGGGAACAGCTCTCAAGATATTCATGAAAGCCAAAAGGAGGAAATGCAGAAATCTTCAGATGATCTGATCTAGATTCCAACTGCCCAGACCCTGAATCCCTGAATCCCTAAA